CTAGCCCGTGTCCTGACGTCATAGTGCTGATAGCCCATCACCACTAACCTGTGTCCTGACGTCAGAGCTGACAGCCCATCACCACTAACCCGTGTCCTGACGTCATAGTGCTGACAGCCCATCACCACTAACCCGTGTCCTGTCCTGATATCAGTGCTGATAGCCCATCACCACTAGCCCGTGTCCTGACGTCATAGTGCTGATAGCCCATCACCACTAACCTGTGTCCTGACGTCAGAGCTGACAGCCCATCACCACTAACCCGTGTCCTGACGTCATAGTGCTGACAGCCCATCACCACTAACCCGTGTCCTGTCCTGATATCAGTGCTGATAGCCCATCACCACTAGCCCGTGTCCTGACGTCATAGTGCTGATAGCCCATCACCACTAACCTGTGTCCTGACGTCAGAGCTGACAGCCCATCACCACTAACCCGTGTCCTGACGTCATAGTGCTGACAGCCCATCACCACTAACCCGTGTCCTGTCCTGATATCAGTGCTGATAGCCCATCACCACTAGCCCGTGTCCTGACGTCATAGTGCTGATAGCCCATCACCACTAACCTGTGTCCTGACGTCAGAGCTGACAGCCCATCACCACTAACCCGTGTCCTGACGTCATAGTGCTGACAGCCCATCACCACTAACCCGTGTCCTGTCCTGATATCAGTGCTGATAGCCCATCACCACTAGCCCGTGTCCTGACGTCATAGTGCTGATAGCCCATCACCACTAGCCCGTGTCCTGACGTCATAGTGCTGATAGCCCATCACCCCTAAGCAGCCCACACAAAGCTGTTGTAAAAATAATTCTGCAGCACTAACTACTACATCATACTTTTAGTTAAGACTTTCAATGCCTTTCATGCTTTCAACTATTTCATATCTTGTATAATGAAAATGATTACTGGAGTCAAAAATTAAAACAATAACATCCATAAAATAACTAAATGTATTTGATTTCTGCCTTAATTCCAACAATAAAATTAAATTCCTTCCCTCACACTGCTTATCTTTTAGATATCTACAAATTCTTGTCAAATACCTATTGCTGAGATTTAGCCCTAAAGCTGTAAATTATTTTTTAAAAAAATAAAATTTTTTTAAAAAGCTGTAAATTATTGTCAAAAAAAAAACATTTTTAGCCAGCAACTTTTTCCGAGTTATCTTATTTTAGGGGGTGCACACACCACGTGCATGTGTTGACATCAGAGGACAACTTGAGGGGGTTAGTTCTCTCCTTCCATCAAGTGAGTCCTGGGAACCAAATTCAGGTCCTCAGGCTTGGTAGCCAGTACCTTAACCTACTGAGTCATCTCCCCAGCCTCTTCTGAAGTCCTCTTTAATGCCTAGTTAATTCTGACCTCTCGTCTTAATACCCTAACAAATTTCTATTTGAATTTTAATCGGTCACTAAGTTTTTTTTTAAGTCTCCATACCAAAATATCCTTATAAATGGAGATGGCTAGAACCCACTGGAAAGTATATCAATTAAGTGATTTCCTGGCCAATATTTTCTTGGAAAAAAAAAAAAGGACATAGCATTTGATAGAGAAGACCTGGGCTCTAGTCCAGACCTCCACCACTTATCAGCTAAGTAACCTTCAAAGAGTTTCGCAACCTTTTGGAGACTTATGTCCTCGTGTGTTTAAATTTTTTAAAGAGGGGGATTAAGATTCTACACAAATTTACTGAGAGCAAAAATCAGCCTAAGTAAGAGATTTACACAACTCAAGGCACTAAATTCTCTTTATGGGAACACACACACACAAGCAACAGACATTAAGTCAACAGCATTCTGAATCAGCGGGAAGCCCTGGTCAGTATCCACTGCCAGCTCACAGTAAAATCAAAGTTCCTGACGAGGATGTTCTGCAAGTGTCGTTTCTCTAACATACAGAGTGTGCCCCTGCATAGGTTCCCAGGGCCCGAGGCCAAAGGTGTTTCCTCCCCAGTCTATTGCATCCATCTAAAAGCCCACTGCCTCCCTGGCAGCAGTGCAAAGCTCTCTTTACTGCCCCAGGAGTCCTACAGCAGAAGACTTGTTCTCAGCATAGTCACCTTCCCTACAAACTGTGCAAGTCCAACACTTTACTGGGAAACTTGCACCATAGAGACGGGACTCCCAGTTAGCCCTCAGCATTCATGGTGTCTTACTCTCCTGACCTAGCCTGAATTTGGTAAGTATCTTTCTAAACCTCTCTCCATACTTTTGTGCATATGTATCCATACACACATACGAGAAAGGACTTTTCTATAGGGGTACAATCAATCTATATCTATTATTCTATGGACTGGCTCTGCCTTCTTTTCATTCAGTCACAATCAACATAACTTTATCTTGACCTTTTGGAAACCTCGATAGTACCTACAAGTGGTAGGCCTGAATGTGTTCCAGAGAGAGCACAGCTTCCTATAGCATCATCGATTACTTTCTGAATAACGACTTTGTCCCAGGAATAGGGCGTACAGTGTGGAACAAAACGGTCATTGTTCTGAGGGAGCTAAGTCTTCTATAAAAACCAACACCAGCAGCAGGTGTGGTGGCACACACCTGTAATCCAGCTCTCAGGAAAGCAAAACAAGATGATTTGTGCAGGTCTGGAGCCAACCCGGCCTACATAGGAACATTCTCTCAACATCCCCTCCAGAAACAGGCAGGTAGATGAAGACATGAAGAAAAGTAAGTAAATATAGCTTATCCTGAGGATACCAGACTACACACCCCAGAGGAAGCCTGAAACCCTGGACATAATTTTTTTTATTATCTGGGTCTTTAATTTGGTATTTTTATTAATACTTTGAGAATTTCATACAATGTATTTTG